ATGAATTTTTATACAGACAGAACCATTTGCTATACCTGCATTCAGCATAAGTGTAAAATGCATGTGGCACTAATAATATTTAGAAAACATTTAAATAAAGATTTCTATATGGATAGATGAATATGGAACAATCCATATGGATTTTATAACTGAAATTTTTATATTGCCAGAATATCATTGTAACAATAAAATATACGATAAGAGTAATTATCCATATAGATTTTTATATAGACCAATCCATGTGGATTTCCAAATGGATCTATCCATATAGAAATCCATATGGATTTTGTATCTGGAATTTTTATTTTGTCATTATAGCAGTGTATTTATAGAATATACACTAATAGTAATTATCCGAATAGATTTTTGTATAGATTTTTCTGTATGGATTTCCATATGGATGGATCCATAAGGAACAATCCATATGGATTTTATATCTGGAATTTTTACTTTGTCATAACAGCAGTGTAAGAATAGAATATACAACAAGAGTAATTATCTGAATAGATTTTCATATAGATTTATCTATATGTATTTCCATATGGGTTTCCATATGGATGGATCCATATGGAACAATCCATATGAATTTTATATCTGGAATTTTTATTTTGTTATAATAGCAGTGTAAGAATAGAATATACAATAAGAGTAATTATCGGTATGGAATTTTATATAAACTTAACCATATGGATTTCCTTATGGATTAATCCATATGGATTTTCATGTAGACAAATCCATTTGTCATATTTGCATTCAGCGCAAATTTAAAATGCATGTAGCACTAATGATATTTCGCATTAATTTAAATGAGGATTTTTAAATGGATAACTTGGCGACTGTGGGCGACCCGCGGTGGCCCGAACACGCCTGAAATCAACAAAATAGCGTTCTTTGGTCTAGCTGAGCGAGTTCGCGCCACCACGGATTGCCCGCTGTCGCCTAATTTCGGATCCTCCAACATACCTTACGTTTGACAGTATGAGTTGAGATTGCTGATTTCCTTTTTTATGATGATCGTCAAGCGTCAATGTGGAATTTCCCACATTTATGTTGCACATATATGACACGTGTTAAAATAAGATTTTTTTCGTACAAGACTAGTCGTACGTCATATTTTAAGCTTAGACATAATGATTTGGAGAGACAATTTTTTTTTAATATACTACAGGAATTTTTTAGGATTAAAATAGTTTTCTCAGATTCTGCTGTATGAGAAATAAAATCCGGCACTTACTACGACCCAAAAGATGTTGGGGTAATGTTATCGAAAAAGCTTATAAAAGGTGCAGATGTTCTACATTAGGGTCTATATAAATTAATATTTAACAAGACAAATCATGTTTAACAAAGTTTAATTTCAAGAATTATTATTTTTGTTGTACTTCCTTCATTACATCACAGTGTTAATTTTAAAGAAGCATACATAATTATACTTACACCTGAGGACGAAAGATTTATCATACATTTATTTTGAAATATTTCAAATTAAGTCATACGAACTTGTTTCTTGAGTTTCTTTTGTTGATTAAGAGTCAAGTTTACAACTGTGGTTTTTAAACGTATGTTATCAAAATCATTTTAAACGGACAATGGAAAACACTCACAATATGATTGAAACAGTGATGTTTGTTGAATCACTATCCTGAAGTGACCGACTTCTTCTTAATTTTTTTCTGAAACCAAAAAAAATTTTTTTTTATCGGCAAAGTTTTTATTCTCATTGCATTTTATACAGAATATTCGAAATCAAGTGGCGCGGTAGATCTACATGTCAGTTTGTGTAGCAGACGAGCCTGTTTACCGCGCTATTTATGTACGTCTAAATTCGTCTTCCGAATTTCCTAAATCAATAAAAAAATACTTAACACTGCTACACACCTGATATTTCGTAATAATTCGACATTTTCAACGTTAAACTATGATTTACACAAATAATCCAGACAAGAACTATCCTTAAACATCGTTTTTACAAGGTATGTAAATGCAAAATGGTGATTTTATTATTTTCCAGTTTTCTTCCAGTCCGAAAAATTCAGACTCTTAATTTAGTCGCAAGTCAGTATGGATATCACATAGAGATATAAGAATATAGCAAGTCAATACAACGCAAGAATATTGCACAAATACATTATTTCAGTTATAATTTACTTTAAAAATGTAATAGTGTATGAAAATAAGGTAATAACTGTGAGTACCAGTAGGCAGGAGAAGCAAGAAAGCCACAAGAAACATATTACATAAATATGATCCTGAGTACACGGTGGTCTAGTGCACTAGTCACAACATTAGTAATCCGTTAGTCTGGGTTTAATCTTGATTAGAACGAAATTTTTTAATCGACCAAGTGATTTTAATAAGCAAAAGATTATGACGTTTTAATTAAAAAATTGTAAATATAAACATGACATCATCTAAGTAAGCGCCAAAATTTGAAAATAACAGTTATTTTTCGTTCATGAGGAAAAATTTGAAATATGTTTTAATATATACATTTACATTTTCAATATGTTAATTTACATTTAAATTTTACATTTTTACCCGTACTTTTTCACGAAAGATCCCAATTAAGTAATGGACATTGCTTGCTTACCTCCTTCTTGATCTGGTAATGACTTAACCATATGGATTTCCTTATGGATTAATCCATATGGATTTTCATATAGACGAATCCATTTGTCATATCTGCATTCAGCGCAAATTAAAAATGCATGTAGCACTAATGATATTTCGCATTAATTTAAATGAGGATTCTTAAATGGATAACTTGGCGACTGTGGGCGACCCGCGGTGGCCCGAACTCGCCTGAAATCAACAAAATAGCGTTCTTTGGTCTAGCATAGCGAGTTCGGGCCACCACGGATTGCCCGCCGTCGCCTAATTTCGGATCCTCCAACATACCTTACATTTGACAGTATGAGCTGAGATTGCTGATTTCCTTTTTTATGATGATCGTCAAGCGTCAATGTGGAATTTCCCACATTTATGTTGCACGTATATGACACNAAAATTCCAGATAAAAATCCATATGAATTGTTCCATATGGATCCATCCATATGGAAATCTTCAATCCAATAAATGCGGAATACCATTAGTGCTATATGCATTTTACGCTTATGCTTAATGCAGTGATGACAAACGCATACGTCTATGTGAAAATCCATATGGATTAATCCACATGGAAATTTAATTGGATGAATCCATATGGATTTTTATATGGATCCTTTTGATTGGGAAGATACGTGGAGGTGACGGAAAAGATAAGAGCGCAAAATTCGGACCACGTATTTATAGCTGTTAAGAAGCCCCATGACCCGGTGGGCACTCAGACCATCAGTAGATAGATCAAGTCCACGCTGAGCAAAAGTGTTATAGATACCTCAGTGTTTTCGGCACACTCGACTCGACACGCGAGCACTTCAGCAGCCTCCATGAAAGGCGTTAGTTTAGATGTAATTAGATGTACGGCGGGCTGGTCTGCTAACTCACAGGTTTTTGCAAGACACTACCATAGACCGATGCAAACGAACAAAAACGCATTTGCGGTAGCCGTATTAAGCTTAGGAAAATAATAATAATAAAAAAAAAAAAAAATGTATGTACTGTAACGTCAATAAAATAATGTGTTAGTTTCTAAACAGCTACATTGGTTACTATACATAATCTCGAGAACGATGCGACTGAAATATAATTGAACGATCAAACGAACTTACGTGTACGTAAAGTTCGATCGCAATCATATGAAGAGCCTCGTTCGAAGAGATTATGGTCCCACCCAAAAAGGTACACGATCCTTTGTCCCTTCACTCATACCCCTGCCCATATACTAATAACAACAATTATTTTATTTACTCTATCTCTAAAGAAATGAGGCGTTCGGGAAGAGCGCGCAACCAGGGCAGATGGTGGGAGAAGATACGCCGCATAAGCGGCAAAACAAAATCTCGCTTACTCTCTCTAAACTTGTGGCCAAAGCATTAGGGGAAGGGGGACTACGTTGGTTACTATACATAGTCTCTTCGAACGAGGCTCTTCATATAATTGCGATTGAACTTCACGTACAGGTAAGTTCGTTTGATCGTTCAATTATCAATGACACAGCATAATATTGGCTGCCTGATTTGAGTGTCATCATCCCTAATACATTGGATAAATGTAACTGATAATGGCCTCCAAGAAAATCCACGTATAAATTTTGTGAAGTATTTAATCGTAATTCATCTGGCTTTGGTGGTTTATATGACTTATCGACAACAGACAAAAAACGTAAGAATGGAGTAGATTATATTAGGCTAAAATCTAAATGTAGACAGGCAAATAAAAGAAACAAAGCAGAGTTCAACTCAGAATGTTTGTGTTTCTTAGTTTCTGTAGTACTGGGTGAAATCTGAAAAATGCAAAATCATAAGTATGTAAACACCTGGTAATGTTTATCCTAACACGTATATATGCATAGGAACCATAGGAACATGCAAAATAATGTACAATACGTATCAAATATAATATACATCCATGAATGTTTCTTACAGGTAAAAGATGATTCGATGAATTTAAAGAATTATCTGATCTCGCCTCATTTAAATCCGTACGACTGCTAAAGTTTGAATTATTCGTGCCACTAAGTAGAGATAAGCTACTTTGAGAATTAGAATTTGATCCCATTCTTGGAGACACATCTGAAATTCGGGTACTACAAGTACTCCTGTAATCAAAAGAAAAACTAATTGTTTAAAATTGTTTCTATTTCAATATATCGTTTTTAGTACAGAAATGCACCTGTGCTTGCTTAAAAAAACTGATGATGTATTTGCCATTGTTCTTCGGCACTTAAGACATTCAGCTTTGACTCTACCATCGACGGAGACGCGATTATATCCATCCTACTGATGGTGCCGCTTTCTAACCATTCTAGAAAATTCAAGTTTATAAAGTAACAATCTACTTCAGCAAATTGCATCAGCAGTGTGATAAGTAGGAAAACTTAATAGAAACGAAAGCTTTCAAACATTTTGATCCTACGATGAAATAAATTTCAAAAAAAAATTTACCATTTCTTCGAACAAGAGTAAACATACCTGAAGTGATTCAAAATCTATGAAAAAACTCTGAAATGTGTGCAGATATCTGGAGAAACAATGAGTGTCTGGAATGAATCAGTATGACAATGCTGGGTAAAATCTGATGATTTTTGTTATGTAACAACTGAAGATTACTTACGTATACTGGGAGATGTCAAAGAATTCAGCTGTTGGCTGATGTGTTAATGGATGAATTAGGGCTGAAAATTATTCCCTTCCATCCAGTGCCTCCAATTTAATTCACCACACACACATATATCTGTTTGACAGCCAGCAGTTAAAAATTCTCCAATTGATATGCTTAAACAATAATAAAATGTGTCAGCTGCTTACAAAAACAATGAAATGCTGATATACATGAATGTTAATACTGCTATCCTTGTAGAAATCATGTGAACAAAATTTATACTTATTTACTTCATTGTGTAGTTTTGACAAACTTGTTGCTGAAAGTTTTTAAATACATTCAAAACAACTAATTGGTCGTGTTCATTGCTGCATATATGCATTTATAGCCAGTGAGTAGCAATAGTGATGAAAACGAACTATAGAACTATGGTGTGATGAAAATTCCAATATTTTTATAAATTTGAGGAATCAACCATCTTAAGCCAATCTTGACTCATTTTAATGCATATAACGAACATTTAATGAGTAGCAAGCTTTGATATTATTTAACTAGTGATTTGCAAATGTGGCAATTTGCAAATCAATACAGGCACAGAGATCAATCATCCTCAAAAGTCAACCTATAACCTCACTTCTTTTCTTTTCTTATATATTTTAAAAGTAAATATTTAATAAACAGAATTTCATTAAACACTGTAAATGACAGTTGGATGAATGTTTGGTAAAGTTTTGAGCAATTATTTATCTTACGATTTCCTAAATAAAGCTGGCAAAGCATGTTCAACAGCACTTAATTTATCAGTTGGATTTAAAAAAAAGCTAAATTTATAAAAACTTGAACAATTTATATACTCACAGCTAAGGTCAGCACTTGTGGATCGATAAGCACTTGTTTAAAATAGAAAAACAATGATTATTAGCACGTTTATAGAGTAGGTAAGTGAGACACAACAGGCAACGAGTCAATCATATCAAAATACAGTCAATTCGATGTATGAAACGGTCCAATCAAATCTATGTGCGAGAGTGAAAGACTCCCTGAGTCCCTGCCCTGGTCTTCCTTCTCTTTCTACGCTAGCCTCACTGTCCCCTGCTAATGAGCACTCTATTCTGTATATGTCTAAGGGAATTCCGAAACAGTGAATAGTTTATTTGATAAGGATTGTGTGAGTGTTGATCCTGAATATGGCAGAGCTAATCAGGAGAAGCTCCCGCATCTAACAATCTAACTACACTGCACTTGACCCTCTGTACGTGTATACACTTTTTTTCTTATATGTCTCATCTTTTTTTCTATTTTTCTTATAGTTCTTTGCGTTCGACTCTCTTCCTCTCTTGTAGAGGCACTACTTAGGGCCCAGAGATTAGTAGGGAGATTGCCAGCGCCTATTACGCGGACGCATATACATGTTATCAAGTTTTAAGTATAACTTAAGTAGTTATGATCACAGACCACAAGCGCAACAAGTTACCCATTTGTACAGATAAGTAGAGATTGACTAATTACAAATTACCTTAGACATTATCAGTTAATAAAACGTTTAGATCCATAAGTACCATTTAGTCGAGACGCGATGTAAGCAAATACCTGTGTAGGGCCGTCTTAAACGTCCCGATACTTTCCTTTAAGCAAATAGAGGCTAGAATAGTTTCCCAAAATCTCATGGCCAGTTGGGAAAACGAAGAGGCATAAGACGAAAGGGCAGCTCGTGGCAGAGCCAGGCCAGTCTGTGCACGACGTGAAGATCGACGGAGCCCATCAGAGATCCTTGGGAACAAATTGTACAGGTATTCAGGTCTCTGAGTGGTTAAAACTTTATACATTGCTACACCAAGAAAATAGTCACGTCTTTTACTAGGGCGTAGCCAACCCAACCTAGCATAATAAGGCAACATAGCCGTATCACGGCGGAGGTTAAAAATATACCTCAATACTGTATTACACAGACGGTCCAGTTTAATGGCAAGGTAACCAGAGAGGCTCATGTACACCAAACAGGCATAATCAAAGTGGGGCCTGATGAGGGTCGTTGCAGAGATTAGTAGGAAGATTGCTGACTGCCATGCTACGGAGTGTGCCCACTTTTTTCCACTGTTTTGAGCGCCCCGTCGCAGCCAAGCGGCCGAACCAGGCGCACATTTTTTATTTTATTTGAGAAGCATGGTAGGGGTATGCGCTTACGAGGAGAGGAACGGATTCGCGTGGAAATGGGCATATAGGCGCACATTTTGGAGACGCGTGGAAGGGGTATATACCGAATGTGCGCCTTCGAGGAGTGGAGTGGAAATGTCGACTATAGCTACTTATATAGCTGAGCAACAGCCGAAGCAAGCGACGACACGAGTTTTTCTCTTTTGACTGCAACCGAGTATATTTATGCTGTATATTTAACTGACTCTTGCTCTCGCTCCAGGGACGTAGCCAGCTTTTATTTTTGCATGGGCCATGGGTGGGCCATTGTACATATATATGCGTGTGCGTCCACGCGCGGGCGTGAGTGGGTGCGTGCATGTGTAGGTGATTCCATAAAAAATTACTCAGATCGTGTCCTGAGCTCTTACACACGAATTTATATCGTATGTTAATTTGAATGAATTGAATAAGAAAATAAAGCTTTATTAAGTCCTTAAAGGCTTTTATTGATCCCGTATGTTAATTTATTAGCAGTCAGCAGTAGTTTGGAGCAAATTTATGATTTACTTGTCGGTGACTTGAAGGTGAGACGCATCTGATTTGCGTTGCTTATAATTAGAGCGTATAGAGTAAAGTCAAAATGTACAAGTTCATGAACTAGGAATATTACTTACTTGTATACATATACAAAGTTTCTATTTACAGTTGATTGAATTCTACTAGTTCAACTATAATAACAAAAGTAAAGATATGTTAAGATTAGCGACCCCCCTAGAATACTT